CAAACAAAAAAAACATGTTAATTGTTCAGGCCCCTACAATAAGCCCTAAACCCTAAACCCTAAACCGAAAACCCTAAAACCGAAACCCTAGACTCTAAACCCAAAGCTGTAAAAACCCTCAACCCTAAGCTCTAAACCCTAAGCCCTAAAAGACTCCACCTAGGATCGCACCGCGTAGGCCATGAAAGTGAAGGTCGGCAGCCAGAGCGCCGGCAAAGTGGCCAGGTAAGCCCAGGACCAGGAGTCCTGCCTAGGATTGTTGTGTTTTTTGTTTTAGGGTTTAGTGTTTTGGGTTTTTGTGTTTTTTTTAGGGTTTCGGGTTTAGGGTTTTGGGTTTTTTGTTTGTTTTAATAAGGTTTCGCGTTTAGGGTTCAGGGTTTTGGGGTTTTTGTTTTTTTAAATAAGGGTTTCGGGTTTAGGGTTTAGGGTTTTGGGGTTTTTGGATTTGTTTTTTTCGGGTTTCGGGTTTACGGTTTAGGGCTTTAGGGGTTTAGGGTTTAGGGTTTTAGGGTTTTAGGGGTTTAGGGGCTTGGGTTTGGGGCTTAGGTTTAGGGGTTAGGTCTTAGGGACCACGCAAAAAAGGAAAAGGGCCCACCAGGAGACCCAGTTGCTGCAGCAGCCAATGGCTGATAAAGGTAATGACGCACAAGACAAAGTGGCAGATCATCATCACAGTTCCTGTCTACTTCACAGTACACTCAAAGAGAGCCTAAATGTAAAACCCTAAACCCTAAACCCCTAAACCCTAAACCCCTAAACCCTAAACCATTCCCCACAACCCTGAACACACCGAGTAAGGGGCGTGCAAACCCTTAGCTGTAAGAATCGTCGAACTTGGTCCTGGCATTGAACCCGAAAATGCAGGTTTAGGGTTTAGGGTTTAGGGTAGAGGGCAACAGGCCGAAAAGGAGGGCCCTTTAAGGGTGTTGGGGGCCCCTCTAACCAAGAGCAGGCGAGACGGCCACAGAAGGAGGGCACGAAGCCATAAGCGACGCCCGAAATCCGATTTTACTTCTCGAGGTCCCTCTACTGAACTCCTAAACCCTAAACCCGAAACCCCCATTGTTGAGGATATAAATCCTGCATTACCCTGAAAACTATGGGAAATATGGTATATTCCTCATTCTGGGTAATGCAGGATTTGTATCAACTGTATTAGGGTTTAGGGTTTAAGCTGTAAAGCCAAATCAGGCAAGAGGCCTAGCAAGGGAGGGCACACCTTCACAGCCGCCGAGCCATGCGCATTCAGGAAAGCAGCCATCTCGAAGACACACCACCTAAGATTTAGGGCTTCGGGTTTTAGTATGCTACAAGCCATACTTCATGCAACAGAAAATGCACACACACACACACACTTATATGATAGCTCACCAAACAAGTATTTCCCTTGTGGGCCTAAAGTCCAAGATAAGGGCCGTAAGGATTGGAACAGGGCTTTGGGCAGCCTTGGGCTATAGGAAGACTAGAAAGAGATCCTACTGACCATCATTCAAACACCCTAGTTGGAGCCTCACCAAGAGCCCCGTATATACTACCATTATGGTGCTAGGTCCTTATAATTAAAACCATAGTATGGGTGGTCTTTTCGAACCTATAGTTCCATAGTGGTAGTATAGGTGGAGCCTCTTCTACCATGAACCTGATTCATGACCAGCCGCAGTCGTGTAACATAGGAAGGGTCCCAGAGCACCAGCATGGACTTGGAGCGCTTCAAGATCGCACCCATGCTGACCAAACCTTCTCCCAGGGGTTAGGGTTGTGTAGGGTTTAGGGTTTAGGGTTGAGGGTTTAGGGTATAGGGGTTTAGGGTAGAGTTCCCTGTTGTGCCTTCCCTATGCAAGTCCTAAAGCAGGTAGTTCTTTAGGGTCCAGGTAAGGTTTCCGAGGCACAGTGGTTGAAAGGTAAAAGCTGTCAGTCGCGTGAAACGTAGCGGTTCTATTCAGTCTCGACGTCTTCGCGGTTATCATCCTAAACCCCAAATCCCGAAACCCTAAATCCGAAACCTCAAGCCCAAAACCTAAACCCCTAAACCGCAAAGCCCCTAAACCCCAAAGCCCCT